GGGGGAGGGGGGGGAAGCGGGCGGGGGGGAGGGGAAGTGGGAAACGCTCACCTGTCAGGGGGCACGCCGCGTTCGCCTGCGGCAGCGAAGGTCAGCGGCGAGTGCGACCTTGTTCTGTTCGATAGAAGACCGCTGTCTGCGCTGTGAGAAGGGGATCCAGACGGCGAGAAGATCCTCTCGCTGCTCGATCCCTCGTCCGCGGCCCGGGAATCGAGCGGCATGAACGGCGCGCTTTGCGGCGGCAGAGTCCCCAAGGCGTCCGCACCACTTCCGCTGCCTGAAGCATTACCATCTGGCGCCGAAAGGAGACCATTGGCATCGCCGTCCCTGAGGAAGGAGGTTGACGAAGCAACGGCTGCGCCTCCAGTAGCTTTTCCTCCTCCTCCTCCTCCTCCTCCTCCTCCTCCTCCAGTCCACAATCTGCTGCTGCTAGTGGTGGCACTTAGTGCACGACTCGAATGTTGTTGATTCTGTCCGAACTCGACAGCATAACAGAAGTTGCAAGCTCGCACCATTTCCCCTCCTTCCCCCCCGCCTCCGCCGTTCACCCCTGCCCCCACGCCGAGCGCCGCCGATGGCGCGGCACTGCTGGCGAGTCCGCTATCCGATTGTCCGCCGGAATGAGATAACGATGTCGAGCCGGCCAACGATGCGGAATCGGGTCCCCCCCACACCCCCCTCTCCCCGACGGCTCCCCCTCCCCCCCCTTCCATCGCTCTCCGCCTTGACCGATCATACTCCGCGGGTATGAAGTTCGCTGCGCACTTGCCGCAGAAGATCCGACCACATATCGGGCAATCATACCGCCGAAGCAAGATGCCGAACTTCGCCTCACACTCGTAGCAAACCCTTGCAGGCCTCTCGGGCATGCCGAAATCACGATGATGATGCGAGCTATTATGCTGTCCTTTCCATAAATACGACCTCACTTTCTCCATCCTTACCTCATGAAAAGCGCGCTCGCCGGCGGCGGATGGCGGAGGTACGCTGAGGGGAGGAAGAGCGTCCGCGACGCCGGTGTGACTCGTCGGCGATGATGCAGACGGAGCGGGCGATGGCTGTAATGCGCACCACAACCCGCCCCGTCGACACGTGGACCAACTCCACCGCCTCTCCTCAAGCGATAGAGACAGACAAACAGACAGAGCGACAGCACAAATAGGCAAACCAGAGAGTGCGAGAGGACAACCCACCAGGAGAGCTATCAAGACGAGGGGGAGGAGTGTGCCAAGGAAATCCACCGCGATGCGAATGCTGCTGCGGCGGCTGCCGGGATCTCAGCCCAAGCGTGGGCAGCAAGCAGCCGCCGGAAGCCGAGCGGTCGCGCAGGCGGTACCGCCTTACCTCTCTCCCACCACCCACCCCCCTCGTGTAGCCCCCGCCAAGAGCGCAGGGGAGAGGGCCACCCTCGCCGGTGCCTTACCTCACCCGTCTCACGCACGTTCTCGTGCGCCTCTCCTGCCTTTCCTCGCCCTACTCTTCACCCTCTCATGCCTTCTCTGGCTGCTTGCTTCCCACTCTTCTTACCTCTGCTCTCCACCTCTTCACCCTCTTCCTTCCCCCCCCGCCCACGCCGCGCCACCTTCCCCCTTCCTCCACTCGCGCACCCCTCCCTCCTCTCACTCTCCTCCGACGACTCCCCCCGCTTTGCACGGGCTGCAGCAAATCCTGGGAACTTCCCTACGGACGCAACGGCACATTTACTATGTACATGTGTTTGCATATATCATGTGTTTGCATACATCAATTCACACACCATTTTTGGGACACGTATTCGTTATGAAGGTGTCCACGTACATATGGAGTACAATATCAACCTTCGCGTTACTGTTTCTTCACATAGATGTATATATATATATATTTGTGTATGTTATATTATACTATATTATATTTGTATACTGATTATTATGTATTTATAACTCTATATTACTGCGCTTGTGTGTATATATAGTGCACCACGATGTGCATTGGAAAAGGCCGCCCCAGCAATTACGGGTACACTGACAAGCGTCGCACGCGGGAGGCAAGGCACCTCTGCGCCAATCGACCGTCAGCCCTCAGAGCATGTCAACTCCGCTTGCGTAGTCCTCTCCGTCTCTACACACACCTCCCTCACCCACCCCCCTCCCTCTCTCCTCTCCAACACCTATAGAGTAAATTTACATAGGTACATACATATATGGTGGATAATTGCACAGACAGTTCGATAGATAGATATTAGCGTCGGTTCCCCAGCAAAGATCGGTCTCACGCTCACCGGCTCTCCCACGACACTCAGGAAACTTTCTCCCATTCCCGTCATCGTTTAGTTGCCGTTGTCATCTTCGTTCACTGGAGGCGAGGCAGCGAGGCAAAGCAGCATACCTAGGCTGCTAACACCAAGGGACTCCCCTACCGTAGTGCTACACGGCCCCGCCAGAGTTTCGAGGGTAGTATGGTGAAAAGTCAGCCGGGCGGGGGGGGGGAAGAGGAGGGGATGAGGTCGGGATGGAGGTGGGGGAGGGGGAAAGGGCGCAGTGCCGGGTCAGGCGAGGCCGGTTCGGAGATCGGGACCGCGCGGAGCCGGCTCGGCATTCAGATCGGTTTACAGGTCGAGGCCTGTTCACGGCTTACAGGTCGAGGCCTGTTCACTGAGGTCTGGTTGCTCGGGCCTGGGTAGGTGTAGGTGAGGGAACAGTGATCGGCGGACCACCTCCCCCCAACGTGCACTCAACGCCGTTATAGGGATAAACATGTGCAGTCGGCACACCCAGACGAGTGGAGTGAAGATGCCCTCTCAATCCCCTGCGTTTCCGGGGGCCAAGTCCCACTACCGGGTAGGCACCCTTTTTGAGTTTCCTGGACGCCTGAATCTAGACGTGTTTGTGCAGATGTGCGGTTGAAGAAACTCTACGCGATTTTCTGCACATTTCACAAACACGTCCACATTCGGGCGTTGAGGAAACTTAACGCTGCTGGTGGGACTTGGCCCCGGTTATCGGCGAACGAGTCCTCGTTGGACTTGGACGACAGTCCATTCCGCTCTGTCCTTCATTTTCACGCATTTTCATGCAGTGCATTGGCTGCGAGCACAGCAAGTGGCGTACTCTGTTCTTTCGCCTCTTTCCGTCATTTTCATTCATTTTTTCCCCATTTCACACTCACATTGTCATTTGCTCCTTACATATTATACAACAAGTAGTCGCACAAACGTCGCACATACTGGGCATGCATATTACCGGAGAAAAAAATCAGCACGGCAAATCTACGGTAGTAGGGGAATTGTCCAGACCCTCGGCACGGATTCTCATTTTGAATGAGAGCTGTCAAGCGGTCCAGCGAGGGAGGCAGCTGGCCACACACGGAGAGAGTATATGACCGTCATTACATCCAAATTCACTCGAAGTGTCCTAAGGTAGCTTCAAGTATTGCCGAGACCGCATGAATGATTCCTCATCTTGAGTGGGTGTGCAAGAATGCGAGGGAGAGGAAGGCCCAGAGAGAGAGGGAGGTGATGGCTTCAGCCAACTCCCAAACCTCCCTCTTTCGTTTGTTGGTCCACAAATGTCAGCGGCCTTCACGGTTAGCTCTGTGTGTGTGTGTGTGTGTGTGTGTGTGGCAGACAAACAAAGCAGGCATACACAGCATTCTTTTTACCGCTCACATGGGACCAAAAGGCAGCCCTACCTAGAGTCCAGGGTTTGCCACGTGGGAGATGCCGCGTAACAGCAAAAGGGAAAACAAAATTTGACAAACGGTCGCGGTTGGGCCCCACAGCAACCAGCGTGCTCAGCTCAATCTACGGTCGCAAGTTCAAACTTTCCCAATGAATCTTGTCGGTTTCACTGTCAGTTACACCTGATCTTCTCAGAGTGTGCGGTATCCTCTCCTAGTCTGAGGCTTGGGAATCGCCCCTCCTGACATGTCTCTCGCTGCACCCAACGGCCAGGCCCACTCGTGCCATGCATGTGCTCACAAAACATGACGCTTTCTGGAAGTCCACGGGCCATTGAATACCAGTGCAGGAGTGAAGTTCCACTTGATTCCACCATGCGCGTTGAATCACAACCATCCATTTTCTCAAAGTCCACGGGCCACCCGTCTAAGTGGGACCTTGCCCCAAGTTTTTTTTTTACTGACGGTTTTTCAACAATTCAGCCATGGTTAGCGTCGAACTGCACCACCTTTGGAGCCCAGACAGACCTAAATCTGATCTCGTCGGATCAGAGACCCTCTCTTACCCTCGTGCTGCCCTCCATATGGCGCTAGTGGAAAGGTTTGTCCCCACTGACCAGCTTACACCCGCACAACGTCACTGCAGTACATCAGCTATGAATGATAGACCTCAGTAGGCTGCATGAGAATTGAACCCTGCTTCTCAGGGATGCAGCTTGAGCTACCTGGGTTTGTCCCCACTGACCAGCTTACGCCAGCCTTCCCCGTACAAAGTCACTGCATAGGTACATCAGCTATCATTGACATACTCCCCGTACAAAGTCACTGCATAGGTACATCAGCTATCATTGACCTGAGTATGCTGAATGAGAACTGAACCCTGCATCTCAGGGATGCAACTTGGGCTACCTAGGCAGGCCAACTCAGAATTTGAACCTGCACCGCCCGGATCCAACTCATACAGACAACCGCATGACCTGGTCAATAGAATCACAAAACCTGTCCTTGACTGGGAGGGGAGAGAGATCTGCATCTCTCTCCCTCGTTTTATTCCCTCCCCATAGACTGGGAGGGGAGAGAGACCAGCGCCACCTTTTTCAATTTGCATTTGAAGAGAAAGAAAACAATGTGAAATGACTGGAGGGAGGGGATCTCTCTCTCTCTCTCTCTCTCTCTCTCTCTCTCTCTCTCTCTCTCTCTCTCT